CGAGGTGGGATGGGAAGAACAATGGGCGAGGAGATTTGGGCCCCTATCTGGATCTGAAGGAAGTGTGATCCTGTATTTCAGTGCCAGCATGGTAATTAGTAGTAATGGATTACATTTTCAGACGTATTAGATAAAATGATCGTTCCACATGAAAAATCCCATTATGAGTTTCTTACCTCTTGCTCCCTCTGCCTCTCTCCTGCTTTCGCTTACCCTCTCTGTTTTAATAACAACTGCCCTTTTCTGTGACCCCTTTAAATAATAGCATAAATGGTCAATAGACCTAAACGTACAAATATTTCTTTAAAACAATGCCCTCACATTTACAGCAGCCAAACTGGAATGTGGGAAAGTGCTTCACGATACAGCAGAGACTAAACACTAAGCATAACAATCTGTCAGGCCAAGAAAAGCTAGGCATAAACAGTGAAAAGAAATTGCAAATACTATTAAAAAGAAAAAAAAAAATCTGAGAAATCCCAATTTTGAATGCGTTTAATTAATGAAAAATACTGAAATTTCCTTGTTCTTGCTGTTCAAGCAGATGTCTTCAGATTAACTGAAATGTTAAAATCTCATCAGCTAGCAGAAACTTGTAAAGTGTGGCCTCTATTTTGGCCATATTCACATAGCCAACATTGGCATATGTGGTCCTGTAGGCATTTTCCAGACATTTGTCAGTGATGAAGGAAGAGCACATTGTGGAGACAGAAAGGCAGGCTGGAAGTTAGTTGCAGGGGAGCAGCAGGGCTTTTTTTTTAATTATTATTTTTAACTGTTAAAGTACAACCTCTTTTTTAGCAGACTTCCCCTTGTCATTCAGTCTTTTAAAACTTCCTGATGCCCATAGCAAATGGGAAGAGACAGTGCCCGTATCTCCCCCTCTTTGACCATCTCCCAGAAACACTTTTGCAAAAGCTGGGTTTTGCATTTACAAGTAGGCTAACTAGGGCTGAAAATACAATACCCCCAAACAACTTGCATGCCGTACCTTCTCTGATACCACCACAAGATGTTTATTTGACTGTGGTTTCCCTTTATTGCTCTTCATGAGATAATAGAAAATAAACAGTATAGTAGGCAGCATGAGCTGGTACTCAAAGCACACTTTCAGCAGTATCTCCTAGCCACTGCTCATAGGCAGCCATGGATCCTCAAAAAAGTAGGGGTCTTCTCTGATAAATCCTAGTGACAGTGGGCTGGAGAGAACCCAGTGAACTTCATTTGTTGTTTTGCGAGTTAAAGGCAGAAAAGCATCATTTTTATCCCTGGTCTTAGGATGTATGTTGCTCTTCGTTCTGCTGTGCCCACGTAATGGATTTCATGCTTCCTTTTTTTTTTTTTTTTTTTTTAGGACAAAAGATGGTTGAAACAAATTACAAAGAAGATAGCAAGTTTATTCTGAATCATTGGTGGCTTTTGCTTATTTGTTTGTTTTTCCTGTTCTTCCTTCTGAAATAATATTGATATTATTAGAAGCCACTCAGAACAACATGATGGTGTCACTGTCCCCCAAGGCTTCACCCTCTGTTCTTAGATGTGTGCTATACCTTTGCCACAGGAGGAGAGAAAAGAAACAAGGCAGGCCTTGAAACTATACATGAAATAGCTCTAAATAATAGTAATAATAGCTATTTTAAGAATCCGTCTTTAAGGGGTGAGTGGGCTCCTTATGCCCTATTTATGCCTTTTTAAATCTTGAACAATAGCTGTGGGGGTTTCTTTTCCTGCAGCACACGAGCGAGGTTAAACATTATTTCTGTAACAGCCTTTTGTTTCCAGCTCCCATGGAGAGAGGGGAAAAAATTGAGATAAAGAAGTGTTATTAAAATTGTGACACACGGCTCTGGGAGTATGTTAAGGATAGAAGGAGCCTGGACGTCAGGAAAGAAATAATGAAATGCAAAAATCACCCAGACTGACAATTGGGAGCCTATGTAGCAGCTTAGCCTGTTGGTCCAAGGCTATTTGTCATAATCAGCGGCACTTTTCTCATTAGCAAAAAGCCATTACCAGTGGACTTTATCAGCAGCTGTGAGTTATCAAGGGGCACACAGCAATCCTAGTGTGTAGTCATGGGGTTCAGCCGGGGTCCGGCTGCTTTAATAAGCCGCCAACTCTTTCCCCAAGTTCCCAGTCAGGTGTCACTGCCATTCCCAGGGAGGCAGCAGGCTGTTAACCACCTCCCTCCTGTCCCCAGTCCCAGAGCAAAGATTCTCTTTGCTTCCCCATAAGCAAACCCATGGAAAACCCGTAAGCAGCCTGGGGAACAACAGAGCTAAGCACAGTCCCCCCTCCTTCCTAGATCAGCCCTTCTCCCCTCTTTGTAGTCCCTCTCTTCCCTTTTTGCCATTGTCGAGTATGGCTTGCTCACTGCTGCATGCACTAACATGTTCTCTATCTCCTCTTTTTGCTGTCATGGAATCTGTGAGGTTGCAAAAGACCACTGAGTTCATCTAGTTCAACGGTCATAGTTGACAAAACCCTTCTTTGCATATTCCTTCTAGCTACAATGCCAGCAGCTCAGCTCTATCTTCTCATTCCTGCAGATCAGCAGTAGACTTCGCACTTTAAAGGAGTGCCTCCGAGTCTGCACTAACCTGCCATGGCTCTACTGATGCTGACTGGGCCGGTCTGTGCTCAGAATGAGATTCTCTCTGCTTCTTGTTCTGTCTGACCTACAAGACAGACCCATCATGCCCTCTTATTCAATCATCCCAACTAGTCTACATGTTCTTTTATGTTATTGTAGGCAACCAGGGCAAAAAAAAAAAAAAAAAAAAAAAAAAAAAATCACCTGTTTTCTGTCCATGCTGTTCCCATGACAGACGATGTTGAGCAGAGATGTTTGACTCAGGTCCTGGGCTGAGAGAAGTGGTGTGATCACTCCCAGGATGAAGTGAATGCTCCAGCCCCAGAGGTATTCAAACAGTGCTCTAAGCACCTTCTGGAACTGTAGCTGTCCCTGCTCATTGCAGAGTTGGAGTAGCTGACCTTTAGAAGTCCCTCCAACTCAAACAATTCTATGATTCTATGGGAAAACTGGAGTTGAATTGCAATCCTCAGGGAACAGATTTTGGACTGGCTGAGCACACAAGCATTCATGTAGCACTGGCCAGTTAGAAGCACAGCCAAGGAGAGAAGTGAAGGTGTTCAACAAGCCACCCAAGGTACACCCAAAGTGTCCTTTTATTGAGAGGGAAACATTGTGTTATTTTTTTCCCCAGTTACAAATAACATCTAGAATTTTAAGGTTCTAGTCCCTCTGCACAAGAGAAAAATCAAAGCATTTAAGAATAAATACCAACTTATTTCCAGCTTCTTTACTACAGCTGGAGTAGCAAATCCCCCATGTCTTAAGAAGATAGCAAATAATAGCACAGAGACCACATGGGAAGGTGGACACATGCATGAAGTGTGTGGGTATTGGGACTCAACATGCTGCTCAGCTGGAGGCTCCTGGAATCATTACAGGCCATGACCTGAAGGATTTGGGTAGATCCAAAAATCTAATGAAGTCAGGGAAGACTCTCATTGACTTCAGGAGGCTTCGGCAGAAGTGCTAATTGAAAGACAAATTTAATCTTGCTTAGACCTGAAAATCTGTTGAAACAAACCCCTGCACATTTAGCACTGTTTGTTCAAATTAGCTCTAAACACAGCTGTATTAGCTCAAAATTACGCACAAATAAACAAGTTATTCACGCTACAAGAGATTAGACATTTTCTGGGATCACGAGTGGCCCTACTTTCACCTTGCATAGGAATCTGCCATCTAAGTACCTGTGCTGGATCTGGCTCACATACAGAATTGGCCTGGATTATTAAATCTGTTTTAGGAATTGTGCCCGAGACGTACCCATGAATAACTGAAATTCTTATATCACTGGTATGAACAGCTCATACTTATCACGCAGTCTTTGACTCCCACTTCAGTAGGACAGAAGTAAAAGCCCAGCAAAAATCTGAGGACCTTCAATCAATGAAATACTTGTTTAGCTTGAAACACAGAAGTATCTACCTCAGTTTTACGTTAAGTTTATCTACATTAAAGTTTCATCAAGCCAGTGCAGTGCCAGCACATGCAGTAGTGAATAGTTGGAACAAGGACATTTAGAACAAAATAGCATCATGATAAAAAAAATCCCATATACAATGCAGAAGTACTATACCAGCGGAAACCAATCATTACCTGCTGCACTGCAAACCTCTTTCAGATAAGCAGATAGAAGTTTCTACCCTTGTTGACCTGTAGTTACAGGCTCATGACTTCAGAATGCTGAAGTGCTCACTAGGCACAGGCCTTACATACCTAGAGAAAAAGGCTTAAAAAGCAGACTGGATTCTTAACTGAGTCTAACTACAACATTTTCAACATAGTTAAATCTCTTTTTATTATTACTTTTAAGATAATGCCTAGCAGGCCATTAAAGCGAAAGGGACTTAGAAAAAACAAAACAAAACAAAACAAAAAAACAAAAAACCAAAAACAACAAAACACAACAATCACAGCCAAAAAAAAGTTTAAATTCAAAGAAAAACGCAAACCAGGATAGGTCATGGTATTCAAAAAAGGATAACAGAAAGACACCTACAGTTTAAACCACCAAATGACACAAAAAAAAACCCACCACTAAACACTAGAGACAAGATTCAGACACAGTCATCTCTTCAACATTGCAGCAGAAAGTACATGAAAGCTCAAAAGAAAAAAAGAAAAACGTATGAACCAGCAAGCCATACAAAACCAAGGAAAACACAAAAACACAAGACATAAGACTTTATTAATAAAAAACTAATAACCCACTACTATGTACAGTACAATTTTATCTTGCACTTCCACGCGCCGCTCCTTCTTTCTTCTGCAGCAGCTCCTGAAATCAAGAGAGGTCACCATCAGATCTGAGCAGCACCACCTCCTCCACCAGCTGCAATCTGGGAACCCAACGGCCTGAGGGAGCACCGCACACAGCCACCCCGT